GTAACATTCAGTAGATGAGGACAGTAAATGAATTTTCAATGTATATACTGGGTTTATCAGGTCATAACCCCCAGTAGGCTCAGTAGCTTGTATGTTTAAAATATCCCAATCTAAAAACTTAGCTTACTGTATAGCACTAATACCATCCCTTCTAGCAAAGTTAAATCCTAGTAGAAAAAATCAGATACAGGGCTGGGGATTTAGCTTAGCAGCATAAGTGCCTGCCTTGCAAGCAGGCAGTCCTGAGTTCAATCCCTGTACTGGTAAAAAAATAAAAAATAAAAAATAAATCAGATACATAATTAAGCAATCTTTTTCACCAAGAGAGGGATGAAAGAAGTAAGTAGCATGTGCCACAGACACCCAGAAGTATACTGTATATAACCTAATCCAGAGGATAAAGGAAAGCCTCCTGAAGAAGATACACTTGAACTGAGTCCTAAAGGTCAGGCAGCAATTAGCCAAGCAAAGAAAAAGAGTAAGAGGAAACACAGATGACAAAGACAAAGCATTTTACCCAAGGGGAAAGCAAAACTAGGTAAAAGTACATTAAAGAATTTAAGAGCAAAGCAGGAAAAATTAGAGCAGAGTCAGATCACATGTCACACTATGGTTTAAACTTTATCCCAAAAGCACTGAAGATCTTTCAACTGGAAAAGACAATGAAAATTTGTATTTGCACTATACATCTCAATTATGGTGCCTGCCATACTCATAACCCCACTTTATGAGAAATTATTTATTTGGCACACTGCTACTTTTTCTGGCTATGATTCTGCCCCACACCCACATATACATATAAACAAACTGGTGACAACAAATGACTTAAACACACAAGCTTCATAGCAGCTGATGAAAAAAAGAGCTAAGCCAAAGAAACTGTTTCTTGGGACTTCAAACCAGAAAATTCTAAGAAGGAAATTAGCTCAGGAGGTAAAGTTAAAAAAATATCAGCCAGCAGGCAGCATAATGGCAATGTAGTGAGAGAAATTTAAGGGGAAGAAACTAGGACTAAAGGGAAGCTTCAGAAATGGGAAAAATCGGAATAGAAAAAATAAGCCAAAAAGAGTAGAAATACAAAGTATTAGTAGACCACTAAAGTGAAATCTAGGATTTGGGGTATAATTCAGCGGCAGGGCAATCTCCAGACTGTAAAAACTAAAGAGTAATCTGTCTTCCTCTGCTTCCAGCTCTTTTTACTAGGTTCCTGCTCTTGAAATCCAGTTTTGCTTTTCTAGGCTCTCTCACACGTTTACTTGCTTCCTTCAAAAAGTGCTCCATTACTTAAGGTAACTTAAGTCTCTTTCTTGCACTTGAAAGGGCCTAAATAAAAGAGCATTTTAGAACACTTACTTTGGCAGCAATGCAAAGAGAAGGTATAACAAAACAAGAGGCAGAAGACAGGCAAAACCATACAGAAACTATTACAGAAGACCAACAGCCAGATGTAGTGGTATATACCTGTAAGCTCAGCATTCAGGAGGCTGAAGCAGGAGTAACTGCAAGTTCAGGCCAGCCTGAACTACATAGGGAGATGTGTCTCAAAAGAAAAAAAAATAAATGCATCTGTAGATGCCGCTCAGTGGGGAAGGTTCAAGATTTAATACTACTACCACGCCAAAAAAATTAAAAATAAAATTTAGAAAGGTATTTTCAGTTAATATAAACTAAAGAAAAAAGGAATAATCTGAAATATCATGAGAAAGAGTATGCAAGATTCAGTGACAAACTGGATGTTGGTAGTAATGTTCAGACTGGAATGGAAAGTAATTCATGGGTTTCTGAAGGCTTTATGAGATAGAGCGGTGTCATTAACCAAGAAAGAAAACCAGAAGGCAAAAATTTTCTGTCTTGCTTGCACACACCATGCACACACAGTTTTGGGGGAAAGAGAAGTGGAGAAGTAATGTTTTGTACAGTTCTGGATTGAAGTGCTTGTGAAATGTGAAACCAAATGGAGATGTCCATTAGACAATGAGTTACAGAGGTGCAAGGCAGAAGCAAGAGTTCTAAAAAACAGTTCTAGACTTAGGAATCAACATGATACTGTGGTTTAAAGATGTATGAAAAGTCTCTGACTAATGTTTCTCTCAAACTATGTTAAAGATTAAAAAGTCATTTAAACTAGAAACCTTAATATTCTTGGCAAGCCATATTTCAAACTTCATATACTCTGCAAATATTAAAGGCTGGATAAACATCTACATACTACAACTCAAATGATTAAGAATGATGGGGTTTATAAATTGATTTCCACTGAGGCTGTACTTATTCTAAAAACCTACATTTAGCCAGGTACATTGGTACATTTATGGTAGTTCCACCTGACAGTGGCTGAGGAAAACGGATTGCTTGAGCCCAAGAGTTTAAGAGCAGCTTGGACAGCACAGTGAGACTTCCCTGTCATCTCAAAAAAAAAAAAAAAAAAAAAAAAGAAAGAAAGAAAGAAAAAGAAAAAAAATAGTACATTCACTCTTTTCCCTCTTGAAGTATATAAGGGAAAGAATTGAGGAAAGAATGAAGGAATTGAGGAAAAAGTCATGTATATTAAACAGTGGATTTTTTTTTTTTTTTTGACGGTGGTAGTGGTACTGGAGTCTGAATCCAAAGCTTTCACCATGAGCTACTTCCCCAGTCTTTTTTTTTTTTTTTTAATTTTTGAGACAAAGTCTCACTAATTTCTCAGGTTGGGCTCAAACTTGTGATCCTCCTGCCTCAGCCTCTGGGAGCATCAGCATTGCAGGCCATCATTCTTAACATAATAAAAATAAACCAAGAGATGGAGCAAGGTGGGAGGAAGAGGAGAACGAGGGAAAAGAATTAAGAAATGTTATATATATATATATGTACAAACTCCCCATGATGAATATAATCATTATGTTCTGCAAATAAGCACCAATACAATTAAAATCTCTTACTTTTTTTTTTTAATTTACTCTTCTTTCATAAGACTCCCCACCTCAGTGAAAGGCATTTGGAAACCTAGATCTTCTCTCTGCCTCCTCCTCCATCTCAAATCCAATCAAATCACCAACTCCTGTGAACTACTAAAACCCAAGTTTAGATCCATTATCATTTGCTTGGATTAACCATCCTGATACTCCAGTCTTTAGCCATATCCACTCTTAAATCCACCCTCCTCACAGCATCCATAGTCTTAATACGCAAATCTGATCATTTCAGTCATCTGTTTTAAATCTTTCAATAATTTATCTGATAAACACTATAATTACTCTAAACCTAACCATACCAGTAGTAGCTCAGAAGCTTAACTGGAAGTTTACTTATCTTTTTGTAGGTTCAATGTAAAAGAATCATCATGGATTATTTTAAATCATTAAAAGTATTTACACACACATGTAACACCTGACGCTTTTAAAAGAGAAGCATATACAACACCGTAAAAGCAAAAAACTAAAAAAGAAACCTCAAGTCCATCAGAATGGAACACTATCCTGCCTGTAAATGAAGCAGGCACTTCTGTATGTATTGTTATCAAATAATCCCCAGAATCTAATATTAACTGAAAAAAAAAAAGTTCAAGTGTGCAAGCACTTGAACGTGGTGTGCGTATCTTAAGAACATAAACATACAGACTTATAGAGGATGAAACTAACACCAGACAGACACACAAGAAGCTGAAAACAGTGGTGGCTCTATGTAGTGAGGAAAAAGAGGCTGGAAAATGAAGTAGAAAAATGTTTCACAGAATAAAAGTCAAAAATTTAAAGTAATGACTACAAAGACCTTTTATCCTTCATCCCCATATCAACATCAAAAATATGCACTGACCACTTGATGTAACACTACATATCCTTCTTGACAGCTTCCATACAACTTCAACAAACACCTTACTCAGTATTTCACTACTACGGAGAAGACCATTGTTAATGATATCACGGAGCACTGCATGACTTTTGCACTTGCTCCTTGGAGAAGACAGCAACACCAGGTGATAGAAAATTATTAAAAAATCTTCAGCGATTAAGGACAGCTACAAATCTTAAATTGGAAAATAGCAAATCCAAAATAACGTCCCTTCAGTATCTTTCAAAACCATATTCAGAGAACTCTACAAAGGAGGTGCAGTAAAGAATGGACATAGAAACTGTACATTCTTGAATGTCAAGTAATTTCATCCTTACAGGAGCCTCTAAAGGGTCAGATTTGGGCGACTTCATTCATTCCACTGACAAATACCAGGCTGTGTGACCTTATAATGGCTCACATCCAGCCTGCCCGATACTTCACTCTTCCCTCTACCTCTTTCCCTTTCTAGCCATCAGCTCAATCCCTCCAAGCACGAGACTCAGTTGGTCCCCTGATGCCTCACTGGAGGGAACATATTGCACTAAGCAAACAGCCCCTCAGGATTGTATGACAAAGCCCTTTCAACCAAAGACAGGATCACGACTAAGGAGAAAAATAACAAGGTTGGCTGGAGGAGGGATCTGCGAGGGACCTACAGTAGGGCTGGGGGTCAGAGGCCCGAGTCTGGGACGCTGTCTCAGGAGCATCACGACAGGGGCTATCAGAAAGCCGCGGCGGGTGAGAGAAGAGCTGGCGGCCGGGCGCCAGCCACAATATAGGGCGAGTGGGTCTCACCAAGAGGGCGGGCGGGAGTCAACGGCGGATCTGAGGAGATGCAGGGAGCGGCGGCGGCAGCGGCTTAGGGAGCGGTCGTGGCAGCGTCCGGGAACGGCGACCCGCAGACGCAGCCGAGTCCGGGGAGACTAAGAGATCCTAACGGAGCGGTTTGGGCTGGTGACAGAGTCGCCGCAAGGGTCGAGGGGCCAGAATGGGGTCCGGCCAATGGAAGATTCGAGGGGTGAGGTCTCGGGAGATTCGGGCCAGGCTCCGGCGTCCGCGAGGCCCCGGGACAGCCCTGACCGCGGGGCGTCTCCAACGGGGCGGGGAGGAGCGGCCCCGCGGGATCCAAGGAGCCTCACGGAGACGTGGGCCGGGCCGAGCCGGGCTGGGGCCGCCAGGGCGGGTCTTACCTCGGGCCGCGTCGCGGGGCCGCAAGGCTCCCTTTTCTTCTGCTGAAGCCGCCTTCCGCGCTCGGCTGAAGGGTTCACGCCAGCAAGCGGCACAGGCCGAGGCCACGGCCGGCCAGACGGTTCCGGGAGGGTGGGCCCAGCCGCCTCAGGGTCCAGGCGAGCAGCCGCCGCGCATCCCCCGCCCTGTCAGACTCAGCCCGGCGGAGCAGACACCCGCCAAAGGAGCACGCGCAGGACCGTCGCCTTGGCCAGTGGGGCCACTGCTTCGGCCGCCGCACCTTCTTAGGGTCCAGTTGGGAGTCTCTGCGGCCACTGGCAACTACCGTCGCGTCAGTCGTCAGCTCCAGCCCGCGAGCCGCCAGCCCCACACACGCGGTCCCGCCCCGCCCCGCCCCGCGCGACTCTTCGGCATCTGGCGCGCGCGCACTTACCTCTCACGCCCCCTCTTACCAGCCCCGCCCGACCCCGCCCCCGCACGTGACGTCGCCGAGGCGGAGGACACGCGCTTGCGCGGACACACCCCATTGCCTCTGCTCCGGGCGGCCCCGCCCCAACGTGTCTTCCTCCACTTACGGCAGGACTAGGAACTGAGCGTTAGACTCTTTCCTTTGCAAGAGTGGAATGTCGCAAGATTGGGAAAGAAATTTCTGTGTTTGCGACCTTAGGGCGCACTTTCCGGCCAATCCAGAGGCGCCTGAAGGCCGGTTGGGCTGGTGAGGTCCGAGGCAGGTAAGAAGCCTCCTCCCGACTTCGGTTTGTCTCAGTTTGGCCGGTGGCTCCCTTGGCCGCCCACGCAGGCTCTCGCGTGTCGGCTCCCTCTCCCCTGTCGGGCTCTGCATTCGCGGTGCCGCCCCTCAGCCCCCGCCCCTTTGCACACGCACGCCCCCTCCCACGTGTCCACGCCCCCGACCTCCGAATATTTGTTTCCATTCATTACTCAGACTTTTCACTCTGTGGATTGTGCCTTAAATTCCAGAAAGTCAAAAGCTAATGAAGTAAGTGCGGTTTATGAAGTACTCTGCTATATAAAAGATGATGAGAGAGAACAGTAGGATTATAGAGGATTCTCTCTAGGTCACTCAAAGGGTATATGTTAAAAGACAAGCGAGCAAATAAAGAACTAACGAGCCGCAGCTGGTCAAAGAAATGGGAGAGGCGACAAGATGGAGAGAATGACGGGGACAAAAGCATCTGACAGGCCGGCCTGAAAAGTAAAAACAAGATTATGTTATGGAAACCATACTGGTGTGGACTTACAGCATCTTTTTATAAGATTCAGTGTAAAGAATGAGCGAAATGAACCAGAATGTGAGCTATGACTTATTAAAAGTGGGAGACTCTCGGGTGTTGTGGAGCCAGGAAGTGGATGATTCAGGGGTTAGGGATGCTAATACTTCATATCAAGAGCACAAGTCAACCTTGTGAGCTCATCGGAATATCCAGGGAAGCAGCAGCTTTTTTTTTTCCTAGTAATAAAACCAATGCTGTTTCTCCGCCATAGGCCAATTAATTAAACTTGAGTTACGCTCCGCTATTAGTAGTTTTTTTAAAGCTCCCCAAGTGACTAAATGCTGAGGGTTGACACCTGTGAAACTGAGATTCAGGGAAGGACAGGAAACAGAAGAAATTGGCTCTGTAACCTTAAGATGCTGTTAATGTGACAACACAGAGAAAGAGAATGGAGAATGGAATGAGAAGCATGACCGGAGTGGTGAAAGTTTTTAGGAAATGAGAAAGCAGCGCCATTCTTTTCTCTTCAGCACACATCCACCCCTCAGCACAATCAGGTCTGCCTCAGTTACTCTCAACCTGTCCTGCTCCCTTGCATCCAGGTTTCATCCCAGTATCTCCACAGAGTTCAAGTGCCATCTACATTTGTATTCCTAAGAGTCAAGAGTTAAACCAAGCTATGAGATTCTAGTCATATCCAACATCCACTCTCCTACTACAAATTACTACACATAGTGCATTGCCAATTTGGAGTGTCTTCTATTATCAGTCATCTAAGTTGGGAACAAGACACGTTTTAAAACAATCTAATTGTAGCACAAAGTATTAAAGGAAAGTCTTTTTTTCAATACTAAGGATTGAACCAGGCCTGCACCCCACGCCTTTTTTTTTTGGAAACAGAGTTTTTGGGGGGTGGGTTTGTTTTTGAGACAGTCTCACTATGCAGTTTAGGCTGACCTTGAACTCAGAGTGCAGCCCAGGCTCACCTCCAACTCCTAGAAATCCCAGTGTATACCACCACACCTGGCTTTGAAGCAGGTTCTAACTCACTTAATTGCCCAGACTGGGCTTGAACTTGCGATAATCTCAGCCTGCTGCGGTGCTGGAATTAATGTGATGTGCCACCACTCCCAAGTGAAGAAAAACCTTTCAATGAAGAATTCACTGGGTGATCAGGGAAGAACTGTGGAAGGCTGCTGTCCATTAAATAGGGAACTGTGTAAGGCTGCTGTCCATTAAATAGGGTTAATCCAAAAATAGATCAGAGGGAGTCTCACATGCTGGAGCATAGTGTATGGAAAGCAGGGTTGAGGAAGGGATGGAGATGATAAAGTAGGTGTGAATAGATCCTGAGGAACCTTGAATTCTATGTTGAGTTTAGATTATGCACTGTAAAGAGTAAATGTAAATAACAAACCAGGCAGGGTGACTCCCACCTGTAATCCTAGCACTGGGGAGATTAAGGCAAGAAAGTTTGAGGCCAACCTGGGTTGTATAATGAGTTCAAGGCTGGCCTAAACTACACAGCAAGACACAGTTACCAAAAAGAAAAAAACAAAGAGCATGCCTGGGTCAGATCTGTACTTCAGGAAGTTGATTGAGTAGTGTTTACTTCCAGCTGCTCAGCTGGAATTGGAGAATGAAGCTGGTTATTTTCTTCTGCTCCTCCTTAACCTCTGGGGCAGCAGTTAACCCACTGTTGCTTAACAACCAGGGCCTGCTGGGGGATGAGCCTGTGTGTGTGCACACTTGGAAATAAATCAGGAAGGTAAACTGGGGTTATTTTTGTGAAAATCACTGAATGCTAGTCTTTTTTTTTTTTTTTTTAGACAAGGTGTTTTGTAGTTCAGGCTGGCCTCAGACTCACTAAGATCCTTTTGCCTCAGCCTCTGAAGTGCTGGGATTACAGATGTGAGCCACCATTCCAAGCAATGCTGGTCTTTGTACTTAATTTGGTAAACAGTGGAAAAATGTTTAAAATTTTGGAAAACAATGTGATTAGAGTTCTACTTGAAAAATTAATGTAGAATGATAAGGTGAGAATGTCTTGATTATCAAAAGAGAAGATAGCAATGAAGAGGCTAAAGTAAATTTTTAAATTGACTTTTAAAGTGATCTCTAAGGAACCTAGTACATTACTTTTTCCCCCTGAATGTGCTGACTAGCATAAAGAAAAATAGATTGGAGAAAATTACATACCTTTTAACATGAGTGTGCATCCCAGCATAGCAACTAACTAGCATTTTATGTGATCAAGAGGCAAACCCACTCTTTATAAATTATATTGTTAGTACTTGTACAAAGTGATAGCTTTACGCATACGTAGGCTCAGAAATGTTTGTGAGGCCTTCCTTGATCAAATTCCACCTATACTTGTGTGAATCCTTCATTTCTGCCTTTTAAGGCCAGAGTTTACCTTGAACTTTGAGATGAGTAAAACTCAACTGCAAACCAAAAAGGAAAGTCCTCAAGGCTAGGTAGCCCCTCTCCTTGAGAACTGATCAGTGCCAGGCTACATTAAAAAAAACTTAATTGCTAGAAGCTCAGCTAATACCCAGATTATGTGCATGTTAAGTATTTTAGTGACAAAATGAGGTAAGGAAGTATTACAAATGCAAAGAAGTGATGTAAAGTTACTTAACTTGCAGACCTGTTCTCTTGGGTTTTTTCTTCAGCATGATGTGCCTACATGGACACCATTCACTATTCAGCGATAATGTGGTTCAACACAGACTGAAAATCAAATTTATGCAGAATTTGAAGCTGAGCTATCTGTTCTTTTTTAGGTAGGAAAGTAGGCACAAAGTCGACCTCAAAGCAGAAATCACACTTGAAACTTACAAAACTTTTTTTAAGAATTTTTATTACAGAAAAGCTCTGAAAAGTCCTATCTGTAGCTCCAAATTAAATAGCTATTCCTTTTTTTTTTTTTTGGTGGTACTGGGGATCAAACTCACAACCTCATGCTTGCCAGGCAGGTGCTTATGCCACTGAGGTAAATCCCCGGCCCTAACTGGCTATTTCTTCCACAGTGATCTGTTGTAAAAGCACTGGATCATAGAACTGAGACAAAAGGAAAAAACCCATCTAGATTACAGTTATTTTCTGAACCTTTGTATTACAGATTTGAAATCTTGACCTTCCTTAATGGCCAGTGAATAAATCTCAGAGTAGTGTGATTAAATTAAATTCCATCAAAATGGGAGCTTGGGGATTTCCAGCCTTAGTTGGTCAGTTTTCTCACTTCTTTTGCAGCAACAATTTGGGACATTACAGGCCGGGGATGTAGCTCAGGGTTGCAGCACCTACCTAGCAAGTGCAAAGTCCTGAGTTCAAATCCTGGTACTAAAAAAGAAGAAAAGACCAAAACAAGCAAATAAAGAAACAACTTGGGATGTCACAATAGCAAGTAAAAACTAATTTTGTTGGAAATGTTTAACTCTACTTAATACTGTATAATTCAAACTTGATCAAATAACTCATAGTGTTCTTATTAGGTAACATTTCAAATCAGACCACTACTTGCATAGATCATGAGTCCCATTAGACCATCTTTTCCTATCAGCTAACACACTAGAACACAAATTTATCATTTCATTCATTAGATATTTATTGAGCCACTACTATGCACCAGGCATGTTTTAAAAACTTATTAGGAATTTGCAATAATTTACACCTTAACTATCTGTGAGATAAAGTAAGTTGTCAGGCTCTGAAATCTGTAGGACAGATAAAGTTAAAAGATGAGGGCTTGCTTTCGTTTAGTTTTTTTTTGTTTTGTTATTTGAGACAGGGTCTCACTGTCTGTAGTTAAGCCACTGACTATGTATCCCAGACTGGCTTCAAACTTGTAGCAGTCCTCCTGCTTCAGCCTCCTGAGTACTGACATTACAGGCATGTGCACAGCTAGCTCTTTTGAACTCCTTCAAAGAGTGGGCTTTCATATAGTTACCATGTGCTGAACACAATGATTATTCGTGAAATCAGGTAGAATATGCCTTTACCTTGACCATACTTTATCAGGCTTTGTTGCCATGTAGACTAGAATAAAATTCTGTTCATTCCTTTATAAAATAATATCTTACTTAGACCTCTTATTAATTCCAATACCTCCCTACCCATAACCCACCCATAGTAATTTCAGTTTGTAGTTACATAAGTCATTTCCTAGAAGATTACAAGCAAAGCAGAATAGAAGAAAAATTTTCCAGGTATGATAATGCACACCTGTAATCTCAGTGGTCTGGGAAGATGAGGCAGGAGGATCACAAGTTCAAGTTCAGCCTGAGTGATATAGTGAGCAAAATGGTGCTCAAAATAAAAAAATGGACTGTTGACTTGGTGTGAAGTCCATGTGTTCAATCCTCAGTACCACAATGAGGAAAAAAAAAAAAAACTACTGTAATTTGTACACAGCAAGTATATATAAAGGAGGGAAAAAGTGTAACACAAGTATAGCCAGACTCTTGAGGTAGAAATGATAGACCAGGGATAAAATT